CCATGTGCAGCGGGCACACGCAAGCACCCACATGGCTACTGAGTACAGCCATTGTGCTGCATGCTGGCCGGGCAGGTACGCAGCTCCTTGCATGAGGACCCTGAGCAAGCAGAGGACCAACTTTGTATCAGGCTACAAAGATCCCTGGCTGACTGGTGCTAGGTGCCAGTGGGCAACCTCCCGTGTTTCAGTGGCTGGGCACTCACCCAGCAACTAAGCGGCCCAGGTATCTGGTCTCTCAGCGCAGAGCTGCTGTGTTAGTCTCAGCAAGACCAGAGAGCCCTAGGAAAGCGGCTTCCCCGCCATCTCCCTGGTCTCGCTGCCGCTGCCACAGCACTGGGCCTGCTTTCTGCCTGGGCGGACCCAGCGAGCCAGTCGTGCTGCATCTGCTGGCCCTGCTCACCAAACCCCTCATGGCAAATTACAGCTGTGCAGCTGAAGGGCAGTCAGGGCAGATTTTTTGCTGCACTGAGCCAAAAAACACTGAGATGATTAACATTAGTTTGGCTCACAACATAAGGTCTAACAAGGACTTAGTGTCACATGGCGGGCTGAAAAAAAGCAACTAATAGCTGTATCAACCCCTGTTCACCCTCTTGCCACCAATCGTTATGCCCACCAAAGGCCGAGGGCCCCGGATTCTGCAGCACGCCACTCCCCTTGGGCCAGGCCCCCGCCACGACTCCCGCCACGCACCTGTACCTGGGCCGGCCAGATGGAGTGGTGTTGAAGGCCAGATCCAGTTCAACAGCTCTACGTTTAATAGCCCTGATTAAAGTGTCATTCACTAAAATGCTCCCTATACCAGATATTTACAGACACATCATTTGGAGAAGGCATATGAAAAATTAACAAAGACCAATGCCCGGAATATGCAATGCAACCAACACTGGAATTAAATATGTAAGAAACCAATTTTCTGTGATTTCCCTTTTTTATGTTGTGAAAAGAGAAGGAGTTAATCTCCTGGTGTTTCTATTGCAGCAGCCTTATGGGAGCATATGTGCCCTGTTTGAGGAAACACAACTTGGAATTTACATTTCCTGATTTATTAAACATTTCCATTTTTCTTGTATTT